TATATACAATATGTTTTTCTTTCTATGTACTCATTGCATAATCAAGACATCATATGCGGTGAGGCCTATGTAATGCTAGTATATCATACGCCTTGTGAAGGTAGATGCTCCTATGTTTATTTAAATAGATACTCTCGATATCCAGTATATGTTGTACTGCATGAACCTTAGCAATGTATTAATATATGCTTACCCCATCATTGTTGAGTATATGCATCCTCTTTGTAGTCAAATCTGACAGTTTGATATACGAGTATACGAATATATGTACTCACATTTCTATCGTCTCAACAACCAATCACGTGATGGAGTACGAATATGTACTACACTCGTACATGCTTTTTATAGATAAAACTGAAACAGTTTGTTTTGGGTGCTTAGAACAAACACTTACCTGGTATAAACAATGTAATTATTTCTGCTATAAATATTTTATTCAAAATAATCTGCATTTACACAAGTTAAGTCTACAGTATATACTTCTGCAAACTACTATGTCAATAACGATATTATAAAGTAAGTGATTTATCACTGTTAGCTTTTATACACTTATTAAAATATCAGTACAGTTCTTGACCGTTACAGTTAAGTACAAGTGTGTGTGTGCTTGTGTGCGTGCGTGTGTGTGTGTGTACGTATACGGGTGCGAATGCTTTAGTATGTGTGTATATATACATATGTATTCTTCTGCTGTATTCTTCTGCTGTATTTGTTGGTGTGACAGAAATAAACTTATATGTATATATAAAAACTACCAGAGTGGGCACCGAATGATCCTGAATTCACCGGAAGATCAGCGCCCCCCCCCCCCCCCCCCGTTCTGATACACTGTAGATACGTCTCGACAGATACCTCTCGACAAATAACGACACCCGACACTATAAACCCATAAATGTACCAATAAATGCACGTGCCGTCAGAATAATTAGCCTAGAGTCTGTTTTGAAAATGAAACCTCTTTAATAGACAATCACAACCCAGAGAGTACATGGTATCTGATAACATAACAGTATAGATTACAGGCGCACGTACTGAAACATCAGTGGTCGCCATAGGTAAATGTTCTGACAAGCTCACCTTATTTACTTGTTATTAAATAAAAATAATTTCTTGTAATTAAACATCAATTACCATTATTTGAGGGCCATGGGGAAGACACATTTACCATGTTTTACCCTCAGTAACTAAATTTTAATGACTGAATAAAAACTTCGCCTTGATATTTATTATAGAAAGCATTATACATGTATTTACCCTCGACCTTGAAGTTTGATACAGTTTGCCATACAAACATTGACAGCGTTGCTACATGTAGCTCTCTATGTTACTTCATTCTTTAGTCAGATTTGTATTGTGTGAAAAATAAACATACGGAGATATTTGGGTCCTAAACATATCCGTAAAAACAATCTCCGTAAAAACATATAATTTGATCATATAAAATTGGAAAGTTACCTTTCACAAAATGGGTCCTTACTCTAATTAAAATACTGATAGAGACTGAGAATATGCGTTTTTCAGACGTCTGGGCTGGTAATTTAATTTGATGCTTGGGAGGGGGGTAACATCTTCAACTTTGCAAAAGTAATCTTCTAAGAGTAGGTATTGTAGCTGAATTTTCGATCGCAAAGGTAATAAAAACATTTGGAAGTATTGTTCGTACTCTGGTTATCACATCCCCATACGAGGTATTTTGCTTACCCTTGAAAGCCACTTTTTACCTCCCAAGATGCGTGAAACGTTCATTTTATTTAGCATGAAACACCCCATTCCTGTGACTCGTGAATGCGGCTTTTTTATTTTCCGTTATTCGTGAAACAAAGTCATTATAATTATACACGGTGATTCGTGATTCTTGATTTTTGACGCGCAATTTCAGTGAGTATAGTTTTATTTACTGTGATTTGTGAACTAATGATTTTATTTCCCGTGAATTGTGATCACCCCTCCCCCTCGGTGGTGCCCTCTCATACGGCAGCTGGGCTGTATCCTCCCGAGGGAGGTGAGAATATTAACACCTAGTCTGAATCAGTAAACAAAAAACGCATCTTGTCTTCTCTAACACAACCCAGCAGGTGAATTTTTTTTCGGGGTGGGGGGGGGGGGGGAACAGCCAAATAATTTG